TTGAAGTTTCCTATAGGGAAAAGAAACCAAAAAATAAAACCATGTAAACTCTCTCTAGATCTTTCAGAAATCTAAATGTTCATTTCTTTTCCAAAGGCTCTATTTAATTTTGGAGCTCCCACTTTCCAAATTTGGTCAATAAAATTAACAGCCTCCTTTTGAGTGGAACATCACACCTCCAAATGAGCTCAAGCTGGCCCTGCGATTGTCCTTCGGAATGTGAGGTTTACATTTCACAGCTCCTCGCCAAGTAATGAATGAATCGGAGCTCGTAAACAAACGAGATCCTCGCTTCCCTTGTTCCGTGGCCCCCAACGTGGGGTGTGTGCTAAAAAGAAAAATATTTATCCTGTTTGTGTGGCGCTGGGTCCCTGAATGGCCCACCAATAAAACAACACCATAAAGGGCATTTCACAGCTGAGCTCGCAATTTAATAAACAGATGCAAACAGAAGGCCTTGGAGGTCAACAATTAAAAATAAACCAGCAGAGGTTCTCCTTGGAATTCCCTTCTCTATAAAGCAGAGAGGACCAGGCCCCTGCAGCTGTGGCAGGGGAGGGTGAGGGGTGGGAAAGGCTTTCCAGCCGTAGGAGCTTGGGGGTGGGGGGGTTGTACCTGCTCTAAATGATTATTCCAATAACTCCCTTTCTAGCAAGAAAGGGAAACTTTGAAGCAGATGACATACAACTCATGGACCCAAAGTGGATTGGAGAATGGTACAACCTTGGCTGACAGCAAATGCTACATGTTAATTTCTCTACTTTCTGCAACAAAGACAGTAAATATTGGAGCCAATGATCTGAAGCAGTGGGAGAATCAAAGAATCGCTTCTGGTAGTTAGTTTTGGAATGGGCTTTCTACTTAAATTTGGAAATGTGTTCGTGTTTGTTTCTGCCTGTGTGTATGTGGCTGATGCCTATAAAATAGCAAAGCCACTAAAGAAAGGCCTGGAAAATTGGCGAGCATCACCATTCTGTACCCATTTCTAACTTCTTCTGGTACCCCCTTCTCATTGCTGCTCAAACCAAGGCTCTCCACAGCATGGATACACCTGTCAGATCCATAATCGGCCATCTCCCTGTGTGACCTCAGGCTTCTGTGTCATTTCTTCCTGGCTCACTCTTCTGTTAAAAAGGGTAAAAATGGTACCTGGCTCCTACTGGCTAAAAAATGTTGGGTGAAGGTTCAGTGAGGCTGTTCACATAAGTCTCTCAAGACAGTGTTTGCAAATGGCATGGGCTCAAAAATGTTAGTTCTTGTTTGCAGAATCTGTGCCATCTGAGGTTACACTTTCTTTCAGAGACCTCTGCTGTGCAGATTGCACTCAGTTGATTTGAGAACGTGTTGAAGGCCTGTAAGCCTCCCATTCCAACACACTTACCCTCACAAAATCCCAAATGCCTACACAGCTAATGCCTGCCATCTTCCCACATTCCTCCACTGATAAGAGAGTGAAGGATGGGTTTAAAGATAATCATTCTCTATGGGGTTGGACCTCCCACCGGGACCCAGGTCCATCTAACAGGCAGAATGGAAAGGAGTCCAGTGTAGTGGGGCCGGCTGCACCAAGCTCCTCTCCTGCAGCAGCTGAAGGACCCCAGGGCCACGCTGCCAGTTATTTACACCTCAGTGTAAATAACCACCATGATGCATGATGGGCCTGACTTATGTAGTTAGAAGCCTCCCAGCCCTATCTTCTTCACACAGGGGTGGTAGGGCCATGACCTCGGGAGATCACTCAAGCACTGGGTATTCAGGTGAATCCCAGTTATACCAGGGGGCTCTCACACAGGCTTGGGGCAGACAGTGATGTAGCTGTTTTATGCATATCCAGCCTCTTGAATTAGTTACTTGGGAATCACATCGGCTTGGGTTTGAGTTCTTCCACTGCCTTTTCTTTTTCTCCTTGTAACAAACAAGAGAAAATGCCAAGAGCATTACTAGGAAGCAGGCTTCAGAACTAAAGTCTTCCTCTCATCTGTATGTCAAATACCAATCTTTTCCACCTCTGCATCTAGTTTACTAATACTTAAAAATTCTTACCTAGGCATCTTTTTATCTACCCCTGGGACAAGCTCGAGTGAGACTATTACCATTCTACTGTCAAAAAAAGACAAAACAGAGGTTCAGAGGTGATGCAGCCCTCTCCCAGCACATCAGGGTTAAATAGAAAATTGGATGTTTTTACCCGTAAGTTTTATTTTTGCATTTCGATGTAGATCTGAACTTTAAAATCCAACTATGATAAGGTATAACACCCATAGGGAAAAATGCCTAAAATATATATGCATGGTTTAACAAATAATTATGAAATCACTGCCTGAATAACCATCATTCAGGTCAAGATATAGAAGTCTCCATCTCCCTTGGGTGTTTCTTTCTAATCAGGACACCCAGAATAGATAAAGGTACTGTTCTAACTTTTCTGGTAACCATTTTCTTTCTTTATTTTATGATTTCACTACCTATATGAGTTTTTATAAACAATATAGTTTAGTTTTGCTTCTTTGTGAATGTTACCAGAGTAGATGCATATTGTATTTATGTCTGTCTTTTGGAAATCATAGGTTTGTAAGATTTGTCCATGCTGCTGAATGATGCCTTGGTACATTCATTGTCTTTATTGCTGTAACGTGTTTCACTTTGAGACTGCAACCTGATTCGTTTCCCCATTCTATGTTGGTTGACTCTAAGCCATCTTCAGTTTTGTTTTGTGATGCAGATTGCAAAAACTGTTCATGCCTCTGTACATCCAGGCTTTCTGCCAAGCAACTTACTTTGGGTAATTTTTTAAAAGAATGATGGTGTACCAGGTGTGAGCCAAGGCTCCAAGAGGGCTTATATGTGCCTGCTTACTCTCCTGCAGCTCTGCCATCACCATGAGAAAAATAAGGGCAGGCTAGGCTGCCAGTGCAAGGAAGAGGGTGAGAGATGCAGAATGAAGTAAACCTGAAAAAAAAAAAGGAACAAGGCCAACCAAGATCAGCTGAACCCCGTAAATAGGTAAGCAACAAATGCTTATTGTTGTATAACGCTAATATCTTGTAATTGTTTGTTATGCATTATTTAGCAATAGATAAGTGATACGAGCTGCTCTAAGCAATATGCTTACACATATTCTTGTCAAAATTAGAGCTCTGCAGATTTTTCAAACTGCAAAGCCTAGGTTATTTCCATTGTACTGGACCATAGCTTTTATCAAGTAGGTTTGGTGAAAAATGTCAGCTAGAATTTTTTAAAAATCATACTCCTAGCATATGAGTTTAACTGTGAATAATCCACACATGGCTATCATAGAACTCCCTCTGTACCTTTTGGGTTTATTTGTTTTCACTTGTTTTTATTTTTATTTATTTGTTTTACATTAGAAAATTTAAGCTTTTAAAATCTCTTCTTTGATTAATGGGGCATACTTCTTGCCCATGGCATTATATTTCTTTGTTTTTATTTCTGTGTCCTTTAACAGAAATTGTGAAATGATTATAAAGTGTCTGGGTACCCAGATTAATACCTGTTCTGGATCAACTGGAATCCAGAGGTCTCAAGCTGATGGTCCTGAGGACAAATTAGATCCACAGATATATTTTGTTTAGTCTGTAGAGTTTAAAAGTTGTTTTTGAAACAATAAGAAAAGCAAAACAAAAACAGGCATTTAACATCAAAACATAAATTTTACACTTTTCTAGAATCATCATAATATTTACTAACATTGGGCCTGCATTCCTACTTGGTAAATATTGAATAAAGCTGAGAAGTGTTTTTCCCTTTTGAGGGGCACATGGCCTCTAATTTTCCACGAGCCCTAATATTTCCTATTCTGCCCAATACTGGGACTCAGTAATGGTTGCAATTTATAATAGTCCATATGATTCTGTTTTCTAATGAAAGAGAACGATTTGTCTAACAGAAAATGAGGCAAAAAAAGGGGGATTAAGAGGAAATTCTAATTTATTTTTCTGGCCACTAAGACTCTAATAAAAGTCTTTACTCAGTGACTAATGTATTAGATCTTGTCACTCAGTTCTCAGCTCCAGAACCTTCGATGGCTCCCCACTGTCTATTGGATAAAGTCCATCTTCCTTAATGTGGCATTCACTCCCTTCACAGTCTCAATCCAAACTTCCTTGACAGCCACATCTCCTACCCTATACATCTGTGAATCGTAGGCTCTAGAAACCCTGCACAAATCAGAACTTCTGGATCTTCTGCTCATTTCCCATCCCCTTATTTTGGTCCATGCTGTTCCCTCTTCCTGAATTGTCCATGATTCTTGAATGCCATTTATCTGCTGTTGTATTAAAACACTGCTCGTCTGCTACGGTTAAACCAAATTCTTTCTCCTCTGCAATGCTTTCTCTGTGCCCCATTGCCAGTGTTTATTGTTGGAGTTCTTTTGAATCTTGAACTCTATGTATCATCATTTTGAAACATAATTACTTCCGTCCTGATGTATGAGCATGCACAGATGAATACTGAGTATTCTCTCCATGTCAGGCACGATGTTACATGCTTCAAGTGTGGTTCACTAACCTCACAACTGCTGCTTGGGATGATGTGAGTCTTATCCCTATTTTACAGAGGAGGACACTTTGATCAGAGAAGTGCAAGTCACAGCCACGTAAATGATATAACTGGGATTTTCATCCTGGTGTTCTGGCTTTAGACCCCAAGTTTCTAACCACTATGCCACATTCCCTGTCTAGTGTCTCCTACCAGATGACCAGATAAGTGATTGCCTATTATTTATTTCTTTTTCCCACTCCATCCTAGCATGATTCATTAAACATAGTATGCATGCAAAGCATGTTAAATGAATGACAGAATCAGTGACAGAAAACTGTGGCTATTTACCATCTTCCTTTGCTTTTGAGAAACTGATGGCACTACATTACCCCCGAAGCCTTTGTTTGTTGGTGAAGTGGGACTGGACATCTGAAACAACCTGGCCAATCATCATTCTCTAATCTCCTGGTAACACTGGGTGGCTTCAGGATTGGCAAATAGTTGTCCCTGAGCCAACTGGAATTCTTCCCTTGAACGTTGTTGTGTGTAAGCAGGAGAAATCAGCAGTCTGTCATCAGTGGCAGAAGCTTTAAGACCTAAAATCTGGAAGTTCTTGAAGACCATATTTCCTGCCATGACAAGAAAACCAGGATGCAGACAATGAAAATTAACAGAATCGACAAAGAGAAACAGAAAGGTAAAACACAGAGAGATTCTGAATAGCATTCGCTATTTGTTACTGGTATTGTTTCTGAAATTAGTCTCCTTCCTTGACCTTCCCCAGCTTGAATGGTCAATCTTTCCTGGAATCCATGAGCCAGTATTTTCCCTTTTTGTAGCTGAAATAGTGTGAATTGCATTTCTGTTACTTCCAACTGAAACAGCCCTGATTGATACGGGCAGAAGTAGAATGCAGACTAAAAAAGGATTCTGTGTCACAAAGCTATTTTCTTGAACCTCTGTGTCACCCATTAAAGAGATGTAACAGGAACACATTCTGTAATTATTATTTATTTAGGACTGCAAATGCATTGGAAGCTAAAAAGAATGGATAAGGCACTCGCTGTCCATGAACTCGTGGTTATAAAGAATTAAAATATCTTATTCACTTCTGTACACTCAGCACCTGGCCCCATGACTAGCAAGATTTCATAAGTATTTGTTGAGTAAATAGATGGGTACCCAGAATTATGGAATGATAGCAAGGTAATGGGGGCAAAGAGGAGGAAAATAAAATTCTACTAGGGTAGGGGAGTTGTAAATGGTTCAGGCAAAGTTTTCCAAAGAGGAAGATGTATTTGAACTGAGCCTTGAAGGATGTGTAGCTGTTTAATAGGTAGAAAAGGAAATACGCAAGATGGAAGTTCAGACAGAGGGAAATAGACATGTTATATAGCCAGAGGCATGAAGTGCATGGTGAATTGCAAAAACCAGAGTTCCAGGAGGTTGGATGATGATGTTAGAGAAGGCTGGGAGAAGGGGCTGGTGAGGTAGGCTGGGCTGAGTAATGCAAATAGAAAAGATTAAATATTTACATAAGCTCATTAGTGACACTGTGTGCATGTGACAAGTATGATTTAGTTTAAACCTCCAAGGTTTAAATACCCTAAGTGCAACTGTATCTTTTTTGAAATTCATTACGTGACATTAATAGGCTCTTTCTCAGCTTCGGTAGTGATCATATTCATGATTTACTCCATCTCTCATCCCTGGGGTCAGGGACAGTCCATTCTGACCTCCATCCGTCCTCTCATACCTTCCTCAGGAACTAAACATTGGCTGCTAAAAAGCTCCCATTTTTTATCCCATGTAAAGGGAAGCAATTTTGCTTCTAAAGATTAACAAGAGAATTCCCATTATTATGAGAACCAATAAAAAAAAGAGATTCTGTGTCACAAAGCTATTTTCTTGATGTTCTGTGTTACCCATTAACTGGAATTCTATAAGAATTCTTTAAGAACTTGTGAGGAGCCCTATAATATGGTAGGTATATCCTAGAAATATCTAAGATCTCAAAGTACTCAAGGACAGAAGCTTTTTTTCTAAAGACCTTACAGCCTTGTTGAGGGGGCAAGATCAATATTATTAAGTTTGACAGAATCAGTTGCTTTTCCAAAATGTTTATAAAATGTTTATTGATTACAAAGCGCTTTTGTGTGTCTTCTTAAATTTGATCTTATCTGTGCAGTGGATGGTAATTTAATGATATATTAGGCAGTGGCTAATGGCTCTGAAGAAAGCCAACACTGAGCCCAAATCCTACATTTCAATTAGGTTATCAGTTCAATTAGGTTAAGTTTTGCTGCAGTAATAAAGAACCCTGAGATCTCAGTTATTTAACACAACAAAAGTTTGTTTCTCGTCTATGTGTAAGTCCACTGAGGGATGGCTAGGTGCTCTTCTTCTCACAGCCTCGTGCAGGACTCAGAATGATGGAACAACCACCTTCTCGAGTATTGCTTTCACAGAGGGAAAAAGAGCCGCTGGAGGGTCTCAAATCAGCAATTAAATGCTTCAGTTCAGAGGTAGCATACTATCCACTCACAACTCCTTGGTCAGAACCAGGTTCGTAACCCCAGTAAAATACCACCAAGTAGTCTGCTTGCTAAAGACAAGCAAGTCATTCTTTTTACTATGAGTTTTCTAGTAGTTAATGCAAAGAGTTTATCTGCATTATAATATCTGTATTGTTTTTGGTGTCTGTCAAATTTAAAAACACAACATTGCTCAAGATAAATGCAACTACTCCTGGAGCTAAACAAACTTTGAAACTTGCTGAATATACAGATTCCTGAACCTCACCCCCAGAAAATTTGACTAATAATGCTAATCAGAGACGGTTCAAGTGGAACATCCCAGGACAGACGAACTAATTGTTGAAATATTAAAATCCTTCTTTATTTGTTGGTAAATACCAAATGTCCCAGTCCCTCTGACAATTGCCCACTACCCCCACCCACCCCACTAACTGTTCTGGCTGCAACCCTGGACTTCTTGCAATTCCCCAGTGAATAAAAGAGTAATATTTTGCAGAGTTGAGTGTTCTGAAGTCCCTTAGTGCTGCAGGTGGCATTCTGCCTGATTGGTATCATTCCCCCACTAGTTGTTAAATGTTTTGTATATGACCTTTGATGATGAGACCTAGGAACCTGAATTATACCAAGTACCCCAGAAAATTCTGATTCAGAAGAATATTGGCCATCTGTCTAGAAACACTGATCACATGACCTGATGAGCCAACTGTGATAGTGACTGTATGAGAAATGCCCTAATGGAAGTGAGCAAAGGATGCAACAAGACCACAGGAATGGGACTCAAGCATCTAAAGTGCTTAGATGGATTAGTTCATTAAATTGAAGTTCCTCTGTCAATTAGCCCTATGTCCCTATACTCTTTGGAAAAATTGGCATTGTTTGGGAATCTTCCAAGAAGAGATAAAGTTAGCAACACCTTGAAAGGCGCTCCAGAGCTCTCCAAGACCCAAAAAAGTAGTTGCCTTTCTCAACTTAGTGAGAGATGCAAAATGTCCATCTATGCAAAGGCCAGAGATTATGAAGCAGCTGCTTGCAGAATAAATACTAAATGGCGGCATGGAGGGATTATAGAGAGGGACTTCCTTCCAGCTGGTACGGGAAAAGGGAAGGGCCATTACCTGCTTTCTGCACCTACCCAAGATGCATCACATCTGAGAATCTCAGAAATGCATATTGGAGTACTGTGGAAACTAATTGAATTTGGAGTGGTGTGGTGGATTAAAGAATTCCCTTTCTCTCTTACACTTCCATGAGAGAAATACACTTCTTCATTTTTGATCTTGGGTATGATACCCTGACTTGTGTCTGCCAATGGAATCTTAGCAGACGGGATGTAGCAGGGACTTGAAATGTGTTTGTGTACTTGGATGTGTAAGTATACTCAGCTGTGTAAGTGTACTCTTCTATATCCTCCATGACTTTGAGAAAGACATGCCCAGACTAGCTCACTGATGCCACAGCAGAGATGAGAGCAGCTGCCCCACGGCTGTGTGAGCTGAGTAAGTGCTTATCACTCTATGCCACTGAGATTTTGTGTTTGTGGTCTGTGTAGCTACAGCTAACTACTGGGGAGGTTTATAAGAAAATTGTGTCAAGGGCTAGAGAATTCCACCCAAATCAGACTGAACAGTCTTTTCTATTTTGCTCCAAGGTAGCTGAGCTGTTGGCCATGGTTCCAGGATATTCTCTTAAGAACAGAAAAAAGCCAAGCAAATAAAAGCCAAGGGACTTAAAGTCTACAGATAATCATAACATTGTATTTTCACAGTTTATGGAGCGTTGTGGTGTGCCTGGTTCCGTGATGTGTGCTTTAGATGGATTAGTTCATTAGTTCCTCTGTCAATCAGCCCCATGTCCCTATACTCTTTTTGGAAAAATTGTGGGGCCCACAGGGGGACCCATATGCAGACTGAGCATTTTTTGGTTCCTGTCTAGACCATTCAACCCAAAACTGAAATAGCTGAACTGAACAAGGGGCTGAGCTTTAGGGAGGTGAAGTAGGGGAAAGGCAAGGCTGGGGAGCTTAAAAATAGTGGGAAAAACATTGCATAAGGCCTTGGAGATAAACAATGCAGTAGTTTCAGTGTCTCTTCCCATGACTCAAATCACGGGTCTTGGGAGTGTGTGATGGTTGTTTCTGGGTCATGAAAAGGTATTCACTTTCCAGTAAAAGGAAGGGACCCACACCAAATAGCCTCTGGCGGTCTTATTAAAAGGCCACGGTGGGGTCAGCATGGGACTCTATCGGTATCAGAAGAAGAGTGTAATAGTGGCTGACATGCCCTGGGCTTTAATGTTGTGCAAGTCAGAGGAACAAATGCTTTGTATGAATTATCTGCCTTAACGCTTGGAGGCACGTGTCCAAACTCTCCCAATTGTACCCACATGGAAACTGGGGTTTGGGGACGTGAAATCATTTCCCACGTAAATAACTCAAAGGGCTGGAGTTAGGATTTAGAAGTAGAATCCATGATTTTCAAAATTTCATGCCATCGTTAACAATTATATATTGATAAATGATGCATTTGAAGTCTAAAAACCAAAATTCAGTTTCAATCATGTGTTTCTAAGGAATAAGGCAGAGGAAAGGATAGACTCTCAGCAGAAAGTGAAGCTACTGTGAGCCTCTTAGATTGTCCATTTTACCTCACTTCAACTCACTTTGAGAATCTCTGTGTCACTAGTGACTGGACAAAGTCTCATGTGAGCCAATTGTTTTAGGACAAGGCAAAAGAGTAGAGAAACCTTTATAAATTACACGAGCCCCCAGTTCCCACACACTCTAGAGCTTCTAAGAGATGTGGTGTGGGAAGAGCTTTGAGGTGGCTCTGAGGCATAGGCTGGTGTGAAAACCCAGCCTCCCCATTTTAGTGAGAGAGAAACTGAAGTCAGAGAGGGGAAGTGATTTTTTCAAGGGTCTGCAGTGAAAAAGCAGAAACTCCCACCTAAAGCCAGGTGGTCCCATACCCAGAGCAGTGGTCTTTCTGCTATGTCATGCTCCCTTCCCTTGTCATTTCTGAGTGACTCATGGGAGGAGCTGATTTTGGACTCTGCCACTCCAGGGGCTCTCTCTGACAAATGTCACTTTCTGGTTTTGAGGAATGAAGGAAGAGTTCCAAAACATAATGTGCTTGTAAACTAGAGCGCTCTGTATTGTTTCTTA